ACGATCATTCGTAAACCTTATTATGAATTATGTGGGCCACACACTTAGTGTTGATACGGTCATTCATAAACTTATTATGAATTCTGTGGTTTGAACACTTAGTGCCGATACAGTCATTCATAAACTTATTATGAATTTTGTGGGTTACACAATGATGACTCCGTAAAAAGGTCATATTTGGGACCTTTTCATTTAAGTTATTGACTATCTAAGACCCCACGTAAGATCATATAGATGCATTTAGGAGCATATAGTTGCATGTGGTGGAATTATGTTTGTCGCGACATTTTATTTTGTAATTGGTGTTGTGTTATGGGGAAGCTGCTCGTTTGGTGATGTGTAGGATTTGGGAGTAAGGAAAAGAAAAAGAGAAGTGTCGTAACATGATGAGACTGTTGAGCAGAATGAAAATACCGATTCGGTTGGCATTTCAAGAGCGAATGAAACGAAAGAAGATATTTTTCAGAGCCAGTTGTCCCTATCTTCACGTGTCTCTACCTAAGAGGACACACCTTCCTGGAGGGGACTTCGCAGTACTGCAACTGATTCTACTGGAACACGCCCTGCTGGAGCTAATTCTGTTGAACCACGCCCTATTGTAGATGATTCTACTAGACCATGACCTACAACAGCCTGATCTTGTCAGGTACTCAGCCAGCTACCTAGAAAGGACCACTGCCACTTCTACTCACTCTCTCACGGAATTAAGCATGTTTAGGGTATCGTAGGAATTTCAACACAAATTCTTAGTTTTATTCTCCCCCTATGAATAGGAGATTAAGAACCATAAAAAAATACTTTACACACACCGCCTTGAGCTAGAAAATTCAGTGGAAAAAGGTCTCTCATTTCTTCACCTGTCCAATTTGTAGTGGCATTCCTCCATTGACAAGCTAGAGGGAGTGGCAAACTAGGGGTTTGAGAGGAGCTAGCTCGCTGGGGTAGTTCGCGGTGGCCGAGGGAAGCTCCCAGTGCACGTTAAAGGCTTTTCCTCATTCCTTTTACTCATTGCTATTATATTTATCATTTGGGTTGTAAGGAACGGATTAACTTCTTTCTTTGTGTTTGAAACATTCGAACCCCACCATGAACTAGTCTTATTTGGTGGGAGTTCATTTTGGATATTTAAGTTTAAGTTTAATGAATGGTTGTTTTTGTATCTTGTTATCTGTTTTGTTTATGAAGTTTAATGCCTAAGGTTGTAGGAGCTATGAGAGTAGCTATTCCTTAGAGATTGCTTACAATTCTATAGAATGGCTAAGTAGCACATCCTTAGTGTTGGAGAAAAGCTAGGGAGGAACCACATAAGCAAGGGGTTCTAGGTAGTAACTAGGCCTAATCCACCATAGAGATAAGGCTAAGATTTCAGTCAACTAAAAGAAGTAGTGTGTGATAGTGATGTTAGATGTTAGTGCTGCCGCAAAAAGGTATTGTCGTGTCATATCCTGTTATCTAGACAAATAGGATCCCTGCAGTAGCTAACACCAATCAGTTTACCATAGCATCTTGAACCTGTTGAGTCCCTTGACTAGAGATAGCATAGGACACTCTTAGTAAACTCTGTCGAGCAGATAAGTCATAGAAGTAAGACCATTATGAGAAGTAGACTTAAATTTCCTAAGTTACTCCTATCATTCATTCTCATAGTAGATTGTCGTGTGAGGAGTTTAAAGTCATGATAATCAAATCCAACATTTACATTTTATTTCACCTTTACATTTTCATTTGTTTTCACCGAACACAATATAATTTGCCACGAAATTTTCTTCCATTTTACAACGATATATCCACTTGCTTCCACATCACACTATTTTCCATTCCATTTCATTTTGCCACATCATTCTCAATTGTACATATCATTACTAACTATACTTAGGTAAAGTAATTAATTGCTTTAATTGAACTTGTCAATTTCTCCAATCCCAGTGGATACGATACTCACTCATCACTGTATTACTTGTTTGATTATGTATACTTGCACATATTTTCGCGACCGTATATAGTAATCACAATTCGCAGAATTTTTTTTGGCACCGTTACCGGGGATTGGCAACGTTACTGGGGATTGGCAACTGTAAGTTAATTAGTTTTGTCATAGCATTTGTATTTTACTTGTTTATTTTTTTATATATATTTACTTTTTTTATTTTCCTTATCTTTTTTAGGTTTTTCATTGTGTATGACTAAAGACACTCTAACGAGCCATTAGAACCAGTTGAACCTAAGATACAGAGGTTGTTTAGGCAAAGAAGACGTGTTCAACGTGCAAATATGTATCAACTCGGAAATCAAGGCATTGGTCATGAGGAAGATCCGAATGTTGAGGCAATTCCAAATGCTGGGAATGCAGCCAGACCTCGTGCCATTCGTGATCACTTAACCCTATCTTGGATTACTAAAGTATTGGAATTATTGCACCAGAGATTCAGGCAGCCATTTCGAGATCAAACCTGTCAGGTTCAATATGCTAAATTTCATAGGGCAATTTGGGAGCATGCCAAATGAAGATGTCGGACAACATATTCGTATCTTCTTAGGTGTGTGATTCTTTTTGTCAACAAGGACTTCACGAAGATGTATTAAAGTTAAAGTTATTTCCATATTCTCTATGTGACCGAGCAAGGGCTTGGTTGAGTGGCATTTCAGTGGGTTCAATGGAGTCTTGGACTGATTTGAGCAAAACTTTTTTACTATGGTATAATCATCTGAATATGAACACCTAACTGAGGAACGACATCGCTTCTTTTTTCACGGTGATGACAAATCAATGCATGAATGTTGGGATTGGTATAAAGGATTACTTCATAAATGTTCAAATAATGGTTTTCAAGATTGGACTCAAGTGGTGATTTTTTATAACAGAGTTAATGCACCCACGAGGATGATGCTAGATGCCTCGGTAAATGGAACATTACTTGACAAATCACCTGCAGAGGAATTTAACATTCTAGATAAGATTGCCAACAACGATTATCAATTTCTATCTACAAGGCTTGGACTTGGGCTAAAATCACATGGAACATTTGAGCTAGACACTAAGGATTCAGTGTCTGCCTAACTTGCTGCTATCACTAATATGTTGAAGAATTTGCAAAGACCAAGCGAGGTGAGGGAAGTAAAGGCAACCAATTTAGCATGTTTATTATGCCACGATAATCACTATGAGAGTGAGTGCCTGACCAATCAAGAATCCATCAACTATGTGGGAAACTACAATCGAGGCAATAACAAACCCTATTCTAACACATATAATCCTGGTTGGCGTCAACATCCAAACTTTTCATGGGGAATCAAGCAACCAGTAATGTTAATCAACTAGTTCAGCAGAAGAATTTCAATGACTCCCAAGGTTTTCAAACGAATATTCCATGGCATAATTCTCACAAGGAAGGGCCATCTTCATCTAACACAAGTTCTTCGGAGGCCACAATGCAACAACTACGAAGACCATGCTGCAAGACCATGCGACCTCCATAAAAACCCAAGGAGCCTTGCTTCAGAGCCACAATTCATCTCTGAGGGTGTTGGACGGTACGGTTGGTCAAATTATCGAGGCATTATAAGAACGACGACCAGGTCATGTGCCGAGTTGCACTGAAGTCACAAAACCTCATGACAAAGAGCAATGAAGTGTATTAACTCTATGGAGTGGTACCAAAATCAATGTAGAAGACAAGTTTGGGGGAAGATCGAATAATGATTTACCCCCTGTAACCGTGCAATCTGATCAAGAATTGCTAGAATAAATACCATTGGAAGATGATAAGGATGAGGTTTCATCCAGCAAAGTGACTGAGGAAGCAAACAAAAATGCCAAGGAAAACACTGTTCCCACCCTGTCATTACAAAAAGTCAGACCCCCACCTCATTTCCTGCAAAGATTGAAAAAGCATAATGATGACATGCAATTTAAACTTTTTGTTGACATTCTGAGTTAACTTCAAATAAATGTTCCTTTTCTGGAAGCTATGGAACAAATGCTGACATAAGCTAAATTTCTCAAGGAGATTGTTACTAAGAAATGAAAGTTGAGCAGTACGAGATAAATGCTACGGTAAAAGAATATTGCTCTCCCTTAAGCAAGCTGCCCCTAAAAAGACATGATATAGGCAGTTTTATCATTCCATGTTTGATATTGCACTATGTGACCTAGGCTCAACGTGAACTTAATGCCTAAGTCAATTTTCGTGAAGCTTGGAATAGGAAATGTGAGACTCACTTATGTTATATTGTTGTTAGCCAATCGTTCACATGTTCATCCTGAAGGGCGAATCGAGGATGTCATTGTACAGGTTGATAAGTTTGTAATTCCATTAGAGTTTCTTATTCTGGATTATGAGGTCGATGCCACAATACCCATAATTTTAGGGATACCCTTTCTAACTACCAGTTGCATTCTTATCGACTGAGAGAAGGGTGAGTTGTTCATGAGAGTGGCCAACCAATGTGTCATTGTGAATGTCTTCCATTCTCTTGAATACATGGATGATTCTGAAGAATTCCATAGCATTTTAGAAGTGGATTCATTTATAGAAAGAGAAACATATCAATTTTACAATGATAATTTCATTCAGCTGGAAAATGATGAGAGGTTATTTGAAGACTTAAAGGCCGAATAGCCTAATGATTTTTCTTTCGAGGAGTAACAGGCTACCTTCCTTATAGCTAGCCCAAGTACGTGTTTTAACTTATGAATTTCAATGAGTTGTTTCTCCTAAGCCCTCATTACAACATGCACCTACCTTAGAGTTAAAGAATTTGCCACAACATCTTAAATATGCTTATCTGGGTAGTAATGAAACATTGCCTATAATTATTTCCTCTTCCCTTACTCCTAACCAAGAATGTAGTCTTCTAAGTGTTTTCTCACAGCATAAGAGAGCGTTAGGATGTACAATGGTGGATCTGAGGGAATAAGTCCAACCATTTGAATGCACAAAATATTACTGGAAGAATGTTATGGCAAATCCATAAAACCTCAACGAAGATTAAACCCAACCATGAAGAAAGTTATGATGAAAAATATTCTAAAGTGGCTTAATGCTGGAGTGATTTACCCCATTTCTAATAGTTCTTTGGTGAGTCCCATCCAATGTGTGCCAACGAAAGGAGGCACGACCGTGGTGACAAGTGAAGACAAGGATCTGTTACCAACACGTACTGTCACCGGCTGGCGAATATGCATGGACTACTGCAAACTTAAGAAGGCCACCAAGAAGTATCGCTTCCATTTACCGTTCATCGATCAAATGCTGAATCCACTTACAAGCAAGGCATATTACTGTTTCTTAGACAGATACTCGGGGTATAATCAAATTGCCATCGCACTAAGAGAAGACAATGTTCATGTGTCCCTACGGCACTTATGATTTCCGAAAAAAGCCTTTTGAACTCTGTAATGCCCCAGAAACCTTTCAGTGCTGCATACAAGCCATTTTTTCTGAATGGTTGAGGATTTTCTAGAAATATTTATGGTTGACTTCTCCGTTTCTAGAGATGACTTCGAGAAATGCCTCGGCAATCTGGAAAAGGTACTAAAGCGATGTAGGAGATCGATCTTGTGCTGAATTGGGAAAAATGTCACTTTATGGTGACCGAAGGCATTGTTCTAGGCCATAAAATTTCTAAAAAGGGCATTGAAGTGCACAAATCCAAAATCAAGGTGATCGAGAAGCTACCCCTACCAACTTCTATCAAGGGAACTAGGAGTTTCCTTGGACATGCTAGGTTTTATATAAGATTCATCAAGAACTTCTCCACGATATCACTAAGCTGGAACAAAGACTTACCTCTACACTTATCGTGGTTCCCCTTGATTGGACGTCACCATTTGAGTTAATGTGTGATACAAATGATTTTATTGTGGGAGTTGTGCTTAGGCAACGTAGAAGTAACATTTTCCATGTGCTAGCCGTACCTTGAATGAAGCACATTTGAACTATACTACTGAGAAAAAATTACTTGTCGTTGTATTTGCATTTGACAAGTTTAGGCCATACTTCATAGGCACCAAAGTCATTGTTCACACTAATCACTCAGCTATAAAATACTTAGTGAACAAGAAAGATGCCAAGCCTAGACTCATTAGGTGGATATTACTATGCAAAGGAATTCGACTTAGAGGAAATGGATAGGAAAGGTACTGAGAATCAGGTTGCAGATCATTTATCTAGGCTATAAAATATTTCAGAATGCAATGACACTTTAGATATTCAAGAAGAATTCCCAGACGTGAAAATTTTATATGGCATGATATCCCGTGGTACGCTGACATTGTTAATTTTCTTGTTAGCGATATTGTTCCTTATGAATTAAATAGCCAGGGTAAGAAGAAGTTCTAGCATAATGGCAAGTTATATTTTTGGGACAATTCATATTTGTTTCAACAATGCGCCAATCAAATAATTCGACGATATGTCACTGAAGAGGAACAAAGATACATTCTACACCATTGCCACATAGTTCCCTGTGGATGGCATTTTGGAGGAGCTTGCACCGTTGCTAATATCTTCCAATCAGGCCTTTACTGCCCATCATTGTTTAAGGATACTCACAAGTTTTGCAAAGATTACTTTATTCAGCTAAGTGATTATTTTATTTATTTGTGCATAAATAACAAATTACTTTGCTACTATTTATTCAGTTTTATTTTAAGTGATTATTTTATTTTTCTTTGAAAGATTAAGGTAAATGCAGCAGGCACGTGATGACTGTACGGTTGAAGCAAGAGAGAATGGGCGGAAACAAGACAAAAAAAGGAGGGAAACTTTTAAACTTTTTCACCTTTTTGAATTTTTTAGTTTTTCTCTAGGGTTACGTAATTATTTTTTGTCCTTTTCCCGCTCATACCCCATTCACACATTAAATAACCCCATTATTTTTACTTTTTATCTTGTTCTTATCCTTTTCACTTTTTTACTTAGTTTGTATCTCTTCTTCTTCTTCCCTCCTTATCATCGAAAAGCCATAGCCAAAAATCTTCAAGTTTTTTCATTTTTCTTTCTCTTGTCAACTAACCATAGTGAGATCACGTCCTTCCAGCTTGACTCAAACATCTCTATCCCGTTTTTGAATGAAGCAACGCAAGAAAGGTTTCAAAACCTCAAAAACCACCAGATGTTATTTTAGTTGGGTTTTGATTTCTCTGACGAGGAAGAAGTCGACCTTGGCAGTAATGTAATGGACATCGTACACCAGGAAAAATAGTAAACATTTACCAAGCATCTAGAGAATGTAAACGCGACACTCGTGAAGGAATTCTACACCAACATCACTGACCTGAATCAATATGTCGTAATGGTTCGTGGTATTTCTATTCACTTTACTTCTTCAGTTTTTAATCACTATTATAATTTGCAAGATGTTATATATAACCAACCATTTTCAAAAAAGAGGCAGACAATGAAACTTATCATGGGATTTTGAAAGACCTTTGTTTTTCAAACACAATGGAATGGCCAGCAAGTAAGCAAACACATGGTGGACCGATAGAGGCTATAACCGAGGCAAAGTTGTGGATTCACTTTATGAAGCATAAGCTTCTACTTACTACCCACAACACCACTGTTGTTGGGATCATCGGTGCACCCCACGGCGCAGTGGAAACAAAACTAGACGGTCTCACCAGAGATCCAAGTACGTAAAACCGAAATCAAGAAGAAAGAATGTGAATACTTACAATGGGTTCCTTGAAAAACAATAAAGATAATAACGAGAAGTGGTGATCATGAACGATTTGAATCGTAAGCCTCCACGAAAACACTTCTCGACCTATACTTAGTTCACCCGATTGAGAGCAAAATTTTCTTTTCCCAAGAGGGTTTTGAGAAAAGCGGCTGAAGTCAAAACGACTGCTAGACCTTACTTCCTTTTAAATATATCAATTAACCTAACATCTTAGGGTTTTTAAAGTTGTTTCAAATTAATAAATAAAATATTATTTAATTAATTCAAATTAAATATACGTTAAAGACTTATAATCTGAATTACAATCTTTAATGTTTATTTAAAAATGTATTTAATTATTCTGAATTATATATCAATTAAAAGAGTTGTAATCTAAATTACATTCTTTTAATGCTTACTTATTCTATTCGGTATAATTAAAATCATATATATATCAAATATACATATCTTAACTATATATATAGTTTAGTAACGTACAACAAATTTTACATCTTTTGCTCATTTCAATCTTAGGGTGTGAGTCTGTAGGTTCTTGTAACATTAGTAGTAATTATTAGAACAATTCTAATATTACATACAATAAGTGACATCTATCAATATATCATTGTCACCTAAGTTACAAGAAATTATGATTTGATAAACCATCTTCGTGAATAAGTCCTTTTATGTATTACATCATTGTGTCCTTTATATATAGAATTGGAACAAGTCTTAGAATAGTAACACTTGTATAGTCCATCTATTGTTTCTTGATATCTAGAGTAGACTATAATTAACAAATAATTTGTGATATTACATATCAACTTATTCGAGCATGGCCATGAATTTCTAGTCTCACTCAATCAAGTGGCTTGTGATATATTTCGTATTATGTAGGCAGGACAAATCCTACCTTAACCATATACACCCCACTACATATATCGAGATATATTCAATAACAGTCTTTATGTTCAACTGTATCAAAACATACACCAATATATGTTGGGATGACATTGATCTCAAGTCTGAGGGCCATACATATAGTCATCACCATGAACAATGTTATGACCGTTACATAATAATCAAAGACATATACTCATAATGAGTCAATCCAATAGATTGTTCTCTAATAATATAATAATGTATCAATTCTGACATCTCTATGTTATTGACAACTCCTTGTCAGTAATCAATAAAATGTTAGTCTTAAGTGTATTATTATTGTCCATGCCCATAATAATACTTGACTATGGATTTTTTAATAATGTTATTATATGGACTTTATTAAATTTCAGTTTATGTTAAACACAGACATATAACTGAAAATAATATTGGCAATGCCTTTATTTAGTAAAATCGGTAAATAAGTGTATTATTACAATCATCAAATGATTGGTCTTTCGGCATACTCTAACAATCTCCCACTAGCACTAAGACCAATAACTCACATATCTATGATCTCTCGAATGAGAGGAAAACACCTAAGAATATGTTTGGACCGTTGATGAGATATGGGTTTCTTTGCTTGTACAATGGCTCCATTATGGTCACAATGGAGTTCTACAACATCTGATATACTGGGAATAACCTCTAATTCCAATATAAACTTCTTGATCCAAATAACCTCTTTTGTTGCTTCACTAGATGCAACGTATTCAGCCTCTATTGTAGAATCAACTATTGTGTATTGCTTTGAAATTTTCCAGCTCACAACACCTCCATAAAGACAAAACACAAATCCTGATTATGATCGTGAGTCATCATTGTCAGTTTGGATGCTAGCATCAGTATAACCTTTTACACTAAGTTCTTCCTCCCCTCCATAGACAAGAAATTTATCCTTAGTTCTTCTTAAGTACTTAAGGATATTTTTAACCGTAACCCAGAGATTTTCACCAGGGTTTGCTTGATACCTATTTGTCATGCTTAAAGCATACGATACATCTGGTCGAGTACATATCATGGATAGATCCAATATCTTAAGCATATGGAATCTTATTCATCATTTCTTTTTCTTGTGGAGTTAAAGATACATTTTCTTCGAAAGAGAAATGCCATGTCTCATAGGCAAAAATCCTTTTTTGGATTCTTCTATATCGAACATTTTCAGCACTTTGTCTATATATGTACTTTGACTCAGACCTAGAAGTCGTCTTGATCTATCTCTATAGATCTTAACTCCTAAGATATACGCTGCCTCACCCAAATCTTTCATAGAAAAACAACTACCTAACCAAGTCTTAACAAACTCTAAGGTAGGTATATCATTTCCTATGATGAGTATGTCATCTACATAAAATATTAGGAAAGAAACAATGCTCCCACTAGCTTTCTTATAAACACAAGGTTCATCTTCATTTATGATAAAACCAAACTCTTTGATTACATCATTGAAATGAAGATTCTAGCTTTGAGAAGCTTGTTATAGTCGATAAATAAATCTTTGTAGCTTACAAACCTTTCCAGCATTTTCTGCAATGTCAAAACCTTATGGTTGTGTCATATACACATCCTCTTCAAGTTTTTCATTAAGGAAAGTGGTTTTGACGTCCATTTGTCAGATTTCATAATCATGGAATGTAGCTATTGCGAGCAAGATTTGGATGACTTAAACATAGCTACATGGGAGAATGCTTCATCATAGTATACACCATGAACTTGTCAAAAACCTTTAGTGACTAATCACCCCTTTTATGTTTGTACA